CGACGGAAGCCACTCATGGAAATCTTCTCCGGCGGCTCTTTGTGTACCACGCGTTGATAATTGGCGTATACCTCGTACTTCTCCTCGGTGAATTTGTCGACTTCCAGCGTGACCACGAAGTCATGCTCTGGTTCAGGCGGCGTCTTCAGGAATTTCCATTCCGCTTCGTGAATTCTCTCAACCAGGTTGAACTCGTTATCCCGACGCTTGGCATCCTGCTTGGAACGTGGATAGAGTCGAGCCGCCTCCTTGGCATAATGATCCCCAGTAACATACTTGTTGAAGCGGTTGATGGCCTGCCGCTGATCTTTAGTGGGCTTGAACTGCGTTGAGTCCAGGCGAAGAGTGTAGTGAGGACAGCAGGCGTTCTTTTGGTCGGGTCGGTAAAGCAACGATCCCGAGCGTCTCCAGCAGCGGTCTAGGAGTTTCTGGTAAAACCCTGGCGTCATTGACGCTGTCGATGCATAGTACGAGAACCCTGTCAACCCGGTCTAGGTGTTAGAAACTCTTACACTGGTCCTACTCATGGGCAACCCCAAGTAGACAGACAGGGCCGGCAACTTTAAGGGTAGAGATCATCATTCACGTTTCTGTCTTGACTGACCAGCTCGAGTGCGGCGACAATAACCACAGTCACTGGAGTCGCTGTATCCTATAGACGCAGTTGTCAGAGATGGTACTACACAGAAAAGGATAGGTCACCAGTGAAGAGCACTCTCCAGTGATCCCCGCCCCCCACCGGGAGTAAACGCTCAGAAGTTCATGGCACAACCACGTTCCATGAGGCCACTCGGCCGGCGCCAGGATCATCAGCATAATGCGGGATGTTAAGTGATCACGTTTGGGAAAGAGATAGAAATCAGCAAGACAAATAGACTTAGCAGGCGTGGGCATAGGAAGCCTTAGACGTAATGGTTTACTCTGGACGTCCATGACAATGCAGGGATAGCTCGAAGGAGGTTAGAAAGACAAGGAGTAGTTGAAAAGTGACGCAGGCGGAGAACAGGTGTCACAGGACTAGGATGGAACCAGACAGGCAGCAGCTAGTCTAAGCTCTCCGTGGAACGTAGAACATAACCAACCGCAAGGTGTCTGTATAGCACGGGGGAGAATGGTTGGGTCAGCGTGGATTTGTGCGCTGGAAAAGGCACTTACCAATCGGGGTTATAAAGGAACACGGCGCTTCTGCATCCTGCACGTCTTCCAAGGTGGAAGTGGCACCGTCGGCGGGGTCATCGCTGTTTGTGACAGACATCTCTAGTTGGGACGACTTCTGGCTGAATATAGGCCAGGCTTCTGAAAAGGGTGACCGATGGCCAAGGTAGTAGGCCTAGATATGTGATGCTTGATGCTGTGACAAGCTCGAGACGGACCACCGATCAACGCCTGATGATGTAGAGGCTGTACATCCGACGGGCTCAGAGCGGGGTATCCCGTATTATCGCGTACTTGGGCGATGCAAATATATGGCTCTCTGCCTAGTTTGACGGACGAGGCGTTGCGTAGAGGAGGAGTGTTCGTTGGTCTTGAACAAATTTTGCATCGAAGGAGGGCGTATTTATCGTTCCATAACATATCGGTTGGAGCTGTGGCTGGTTGGCTGAAGTCACATTCTCAGAAGGTAAGTACGTAGAGGTAGGTAGGCTAGGTGCAGTCACATATCGGTTTCTTAGAATGCAGAATCTCAGCTCAAACCGTCACAGTGTTTGAAGACTGCAAAGGAACGCTCAGGTTATATGATATCTGGAAATGAACAACCACGTATCAGCTTGATGCAAGAAGAAGTGTCTTGCTTACAGCTTCTACTTCCAGTGCAGTAATGGTTGTTGAACAAGTACCGTGATACTTGCGAGCTGAGGCGCTCGGATGTTGGAACCCCCACTACTACCTCTACGGTACAACCGTACAAGTGCCTCGCTTTAGGTTGACCAGCACGCTGTGAGCGATGAGTACCTCCAGCATACAATTTAGTATGTGTAACATTCTGACCCAAGACTTGATTTCATATACATACACTATTCTTAATGTCATCTATCAGCCAACAGTAGACGAAGCTTCCAAAAGAAAGTAGTGGCCCGAACTTGGAAATCGTCTCCGACCTTGAAACTGTTTGAGTAACCTCAGGAGGGTATTCTTAACTCCTTGCTGGCAGAGTCTAGTTGGCGCTACGGCTCATGCAGTACAACGAGACGTATTTGTTTGTATGATAGGTTCGCCGATCAAGCCGAGGACCCCGGCGAACTTGTCAACCTGCAGCTATCCAGCCTTCTCATCATCGTGCGCAGAGGTAGGCTTTGGGTTATCATTCAATTCATCTCAACGTGCCTGGAGGTAGCTATTGGGGAAGTGACAGCACTGTCGTAGGAAGTAGCAGGTCGCGGGCGGTAACGGACAGGCCTTGTAAGCTTCAATAGACTAAGGTAAGTACCTCGCATGATGTTCTCGCCCAATTCAACGGCAAGCCGTTACATTCTGTCTCGTTCCGTGTCACCTTGCTAATAAGAATATTCTACAGGCCTACGAGGTACACGGCTTGGATGTCTCAGAGGAATCGTTGGAGAAGTAAGATCCAAATCTTTCCCTATTCTGTACCCCTCTATCCTCTTCAAGTCTTCACAAGACATGCAAAAACGAGCGTGCAGAGCTCCCAGCTCCCCCAGCTTCCGCCTGAATTTCTCCCTTACCCAACCCATTTTCTCCAAGTCAAGCACGCTTGTCTTGAATAGTTGGAACTAGTAATCATAATGTGCCCTGTACACCGCTTTCACTAAGGTTCGTTCCTGGGTGCTTCCAGTAAACGTCACGAGAGGTCAGAAACGCCCGCTCTGCCCCACGCGCCGCCCCTCGTCACATCCAGGCTTTCTCTTCAGCATCTCGCGCGTGCCCCAACCGGCGTGGGAACCCTTGTTGCCGAACTTTTTTTGCTCTTCGGTCTCCCTTTATAAAACCCGATACGTCCGCACCCAAAGCCTCTGCCTGGTTTTGTACAGCAGGCATTGAACTGCTTGCCAAGTGTACGGCGTCTCCGGGCTTTTCCTTTTCCGTTGCGGAACGAAAGTGTCTCTCGCCTCTCATCCTGGCTGGCTTCCGCAGTCGCTCACTTTTTCAAGCCAACTGGTCTCTTGCCGGCGCCGTAGACGACAGGCTGCGGCTCACGGTTGGACAGACTCGGAGTTTTGTCCTTGATTCATCATCATCATCATCACGGCCAATCTGACCTGTTTCACAACCTTGTCGACCATGTCGCTCAAAAGTCATTGAAAGTTCCGGCAATTACTGTCATCTGCCTGCCCGCCCCAACCTTGCAGACCTCAAAATAACGCCCCGCCGCCTAGCACGACCTCTGCGCCCTCTAGTTGACCCTTGTCACGGCCATCGTCACGCCTATTCCAGCCCTGCAACATCACAATGGCGGCAAGCAGTAGCAGCAGTAATGGTAATCGAACGATGGAGTCGAGGACTGGGAGAAGCAAGCAACGTGAGTAGTCACATTCCGCATCTTCCCACTCGTGGCACATCACGAACAGTGGTTGCCAGGAGAAAGCCTTCAGCACTGAAGCACGGTCGAAACTGACCACTTCTCCCTTTCTACAGGCTACAATGCGAAGGGCGAGCGACTAGTTGCCGGTGTGGTGCCTCTGACGGCGGACAAGACCTACGTGCTGTTGATACAGTCGACCAGGCGAAAAGGCTGGGTTCTGCCCAAGGGAGGATGGGAGACGGACGAAGAGTGTCACGAGGCCGCAACACGAGAGGCCTGGGAAGAGGCTGGAATCCTGATACAGATTGACTATGACCTTGGCGACATAATAGAAACCAGGCCGCCAAAGAAGCCCTCGCCGGGCAAGGACAAGGCCAAGGAGTCGCACAAGTCTCTATACCGGTTCTTCGAAGCCACTGTCACCAGTGAGGAAACCGAGTGGCCTGAAAAGGACAAGCGCATACGGACATGGATGACCTACGCAGAGGCCAAGGAAGCGCTCAAAGATCGCCCCGAGTTGCAAACTGCTCTAGACCGCTCTACCATCAAGAGGTAGCTGTGGAGAGACCGGACCGAGAGGGTTACCGCGCTTAGTGGATTACACAGGCTTATACGCACAGCGTTGACGTTACTTTGTCGTAGCGTACTTGGTAACTATGGCACCTACACGTTCACCGTGGCTATCAAATGCTACGATGGCTGTGACAACGACCTGGCACGGTTACCCGCTATCGGACCGGCTGACATCGGAGTTGTGCTCTTCAGAGGGACTTTCCTGCCATGTCGCATGATGGTCTCATGGTTGTCCAAGTTCTTGACGAATCAAAAAAATAGAGGCTGATGGTTGGTCTTTCCTGGTATCTCGCTCTGTGCCAGGTCACTGGACCTTCTGGTCATGCGAGCACACACCAATACCTTGCATGCGCGACTTCTTGGTTTGGATAATCCGCATGTGACGGGACACTTGCCTCCTCGTCCATGCTTTCCTTCAAAGTGGCTATTAGAAATGGAGTGATGCAAAATGTCAAAAGAAGCCGACTGGCGTTGTGTTTGTGTACTTGCTTTCACGGTACACAAGAAGGGGTATCATATTTGGAGTAGGACCTCCTGGTGGCGCAGGATGGGTGAGGACCCAGAGTGAACATGTCTCAATAGGGTCTTTTCAAAAGGATAGAACGCATTGGCTTCTGCCAGCACATCCCTCTAAAATGAAGTGAAGACGAAACACCCGCGCGGTGGTTGCATCTTCCAGTTCCCTGGTTGCTTTATCCTCTCGCGTGAATATTTATGCTTTGCCGGTACGATGTCCTTTGTAAAGACTCTAGCTAAGCCTGGGAGATTGCTGGCGACCTGAGCGCCGTAATAGTAAATAATGACCATGGAGTACAGTACAGTATGCGTCACACTGATGATTGTGTAACCCTTGAACTGAATGATACCCAGCAGCCAACTGCAGCTATTACTGAACCTGTGATCAGTCTAACAAGAGTCTTTCAAAATCGTGGTTGATTCAGTTGCGTCTCCCCTAGCTCAGCTGGTTAGAGCGTTCGACTGTTAAACTTCCTGTTTCGGAAGCCGCAATCGAGAGGTCGACAGTTCAATCCTGTCGGGGAGAGTTTTGCTTTTTGCTCTGGTCAGATTTCCTCCTCCTCTCGACCATGTGTTGTTTACTTTTTCCTTCTTGCATGCATTTGACAGAAACATAACCTCCCCAACTAGCTGACAACATCAAAGTTGCTTCAAGGATGTGCCACAGACATGGTGATCCAGGTAGTAACGAGTGGAACACGTATAGACATAATTCAGCTTCACTTTCCGAGGGAGACACTCATCATACGGAGCAGGAACTTTTGTTTCAGTAAGCTAGAGAACAAATGCGTGGCTTTCATCATACAGACTGAGACTAGTGTCGGGTATAGTGGCCATCCAAACTTTTCATCTTAGGGTTCTCCAATATACACCCTCTCCTCTCCCTTTCTCGTAGGGAACATGTTCCCATTCCATATCCTGTACAAGTATTCAATTCAATATTGGGAAATAAGAATAAAAGCTGAGCCATCGAGGCAAAACTGAACAAGAACAAAAGGGGGTATCTTTGCTGATAAGCAATGTGCTTGGAGTAGCTTGCCAACATCAACAGAGAAACTCGAAAAGAAAAAGACAAGACGTAAAATAACAGAAAAAAGGGGGTATGGGGGGTATCAGTCCCGAAATCCAACTCCGTGCGTAAAACTTTCAGATGCGAGCATTAGCCCTGACAAGCACAACTTCATCTCAAAACAAGAAACACTGGGCGCGCCCCCACGATGGAGTGGTCGCCAGGAAACAACCACTTACGTACCACGACCACCACTATAACACCGATGCCAATAAACACGATAGGCCACCATCGGCGCCGTGATACCAACCCCTTCTAGAAGCAGTTCAGGCTGCCCTTCTTCTTCTTCTGCTGCTTACTGAGAGCATTCATGCGATGCTCGAGCTGTTCTCTAGCCAACTCGGCATCCCGCCGCTTCTTGCGCTCCTCCTCAACAGCCTGCAGGCTCCAGCGAGGATCCTGCTGTGGTGGTTTCTGTTTCAGTTCCTTGTTCTCGGCTTCCAGATCCGAGGCCCGACGGCGCCAGGCGTCCAGGTCCGCCTTCATCTTCTTCTGCTGCTCCTCCAGGTCCGTGAGGGCTTCCTCGAGGGTCATGGTGAGCTGGCGCTCGGCGTCGAGGTTGCGCGACATGGCTTCGATCTGGGCCGTCTGGTCATCTTTGAGCTGCGCGAGGTTCTTGCTGGCTGGCCGTCCTGTCGGGGGAGGAGAGGCTGGATTGCCCGGGACATTCGGTGGTGAAGTGGAGTTGCGTGGAATGGGCGGCAGTGGGATCGCCGGCGGCGGCGAGGGGAGGGAGGAGACGGATGTGGTCTTGCGAAGATGCGAGCTTGCTGGGTCTGCGTTTTGGAGCTGGAGACTTTCGGCTGCTTCAAGTTTGGCCTGTGACTGGTCAGAATGGTGTACGAGAGCAGCGATACTATCCAGACGTACCTGAAGCGAGTTGTATTCGTCCTTCAAGGCATCCAACTCGGTCTGTAGCCTATTTCTCGCAGCGTTTGCTTCCTCCAATTGCTGTGTCCTCTCAGTCTGCAGTGTCGACAGGCGGTTATTGGTCATCTGCACCTGGTCGAAGTTATGCTGCAGCTGGTCCTCGAGCTCCTGGACAAGACGCGAGTTCTTCGTGTTCTTGGTTTCCAGGTCTGCCACCTTCTTCTTCACGACAACCAGTTGCTCCGCCAGAGACAACGCGGGGCTCTTGCTGTCGCTGCCTCCTGCAAGTTCAGCGAGCGCCGCCTTGACCTCCTCCAGGTCTTTCATGACAGCATCGTTGATCCTCGTCAGATCGCTCACGTGGCTTTGCAGCTCTGCCCGGTTCTTCCGCTCCTGAGCCAGCTCCTTCCGGTCGCCGAGCAAGTCGTCGATGCGTTCGCTAAGCTTTTCCATGCTGACGTCGAGGCCAAGGGCGAAAGCAACCTGGGTAGCGACCTTCATCAGGTCCTCCCTAGCTTCCATCAGTTCTGCCTCCAGAGCCTGTCGCGCTTGCTCGTGGTCAGAAAGAGCCTTGCTCAGCTGAGTCTGATGTTCGTGCTGGAGGTTGGCCTTAACCACGTCGTACTCAGCAGAATGGTGCGTTTGTAGTTGATCGATCATCTCCGTATGCTGGTCCTCGAGGTCCCGCATCGCCTTTATATGTTTGGACATGAGTTCATTGAGCGCCGTTTCATGATTTGCTGCTAGTTCATCATCCTGCTGGAGATGATTGGCGTGGATCACCTGCAGGTTAGACTCATGAATCCGGATAGTCTCCTCGTGCTTGGCAATCTGATCTTCCAAGCCCTGGACCAGGGTCCTATGCGTCTCAAACTCGGATTGTGCCACATCCTGATCTCTCGTCGCAGACTCAAGCGCAGCTTTCATCTCATTTCGTTGCTGCTCGATCTCATTCACCTTGGTAGCGTTGCTGTTGATAATAGCCTTGTACTCGTCGATTTCGTTCCGTAACATACTGATGAGGTTCTCCTGTTTGGCGTTGCTCTCTTGCGTCTGATCTGCTCCATTTGCACCGCTCTCGGCTTCACCGTTCTTAAGCTCCGTTACCTGGGCTTCAAGCTGCTCGATTGTTTTCTTCATGTCCGCTTCGGTGGAGGACATCGTCTCCAATACCGCCTGATGCTTGCTTTCCCACTTGGCTAGGTCAGCGGTGAGCTCCGCGATCTTCTGCTCAGCTTCTTCTTCCTGACGAGGTCCGCCTGCTATAGCCGAGGCAGCATCTGAATCAGCATCCCCGTTCACAGCTGCAGGCGTCTGCTGGAGTGCCTCGCGCAACTCTCCAATCTGCGCCTCGAGCTCCCTCTCGCGAACAGCATGCGCCTCGTGCATCATCTGGAACTGCTTCTCACTCATCTCCAGCTCCTGCCGTAAGCTAGACACTACAGCCATGTCCGTGGGCGATGCCCTCAAGCTCGATCTCTCCCTGGTGAGGCCAGAGATAATAGTCATCTTAGTCTCCATCTCCTTCTTGGCGGCAGCTACGTCAGCCTCCAACTCCTGGATCCGTTCAGACCGGGCATGCAACTCATGCATGGCAGCATTGAGGTTGAGCTCAAAGTTCTGCATCACATCAGGCTGTCCTTCAAAGCTTTCGGCGGCGATGTTACGGAGGGAAGCAAACGACCTGTGAGCGCGGTCGATGATCATAACATTCTGACCAGACTTGCGTCGTATCACCGGGGTACTGCTTCGAGGTGATGATGCTTCCACATTGACGGATTGGGCTTTGGCAACCTCCGTCTTGAGTTCCTCCACCATGTCCAATGTGTCTTGGTGCTGCATCGAGAGTTGGTTGTATTTCTCGGCAAGTTCCCTCTCGGCCTCCTCCTTGGCCGCCGTGATGGACTTCAACCGATGAAGCTCGGCTTGCAGATCATCACCACCGGGAAGTTCTTGGACCGAATGGTCATGCGTTTCGGAGCTGGGAACCGTGGTCTCGGCGTCGGAAGCACTATCCAACGTGGCAGAAGGAGAATCAATAGCGGACGAGAGCTCGGTGGAGAGCGAGCGTAAAGAGGACAGCCGCCCTCCATCTCTGGTCGTTTCGGACATAAAAGACTGGGGTCTCGTTTGAACGGGCGAAGACAAGACGGAGTCGCGTTGGCGTCTGGGGTGCTTGGCCTCGTCTACAGCGTCTTGCAGCTCGGCAAGGGCCCGAAGAGCTTCTTCGTACTTGGCTGCGAGCAAGTCAAATTCGCTGAGGGTATGTTCGTGTTCCACTTTGAGACCCAGCAGTTCCTGCGTTACGGTCTCGAGCTTGTCGTTGACGTATTTGGTCTGCGCAGGACTAGCGGGATGCTCTGGCAGTTCGGGGGCGTCCCCGAGATGAGCTCGGGAAGCTTTGGGCGTGATTGCCGACGGCGAGCCATTCTCATCCTTTGCCGAGCGCGACTCGTCTCCATCCTCCTCGCCCTCTTCGATGTCCTCCTCGCCAGTCTCAAGAATGGCGTCTTCCATGTGTGACTGCCGGCTCACGTGGCTTTGGCTTCTCGAGTGGTCGGCGAACCCACGGCTGTTGATCCTCCGGTGGCTCGTCCCGTTCATGGCCTCCACCTCGGTGTCGGGCTTGACGTCCTGCTGTATGTGGTCCAGTTCATAAAGGAGCGAATCCAGCTTTCCGAGACTTCGCTGTCGCTCGATGACCTGCTCGAGCCTATCTATTTCACGTTGCATGAGCTCAGCGTCTTGGTCGGCTTCGGCTAGTCGCTCCTCCAACGTCGAGATGTAGTCTTCGCAAGCAGCCTCGTTCTCCCTCACGCGAGCTATCTCCTTTCGAAGCTCCATGACGATGGTTGCATTTTTCTCTTCGCCTGAGGTATGTCCATCGAGCTTGGACTCTAAGTCATGGAGATAGTTTTCTGTGCTGGCTTCACGGTCCATGAGCTTGGTTAATCGCGCCTGAAGTTGGGTGTTGATCGTCTCCGCATAAGCGCACTTGCTCTCCTTTTCCAGCAAGGAGGTCTCGGTATTGGCCAGCGTTGCACGAGTGCTCGATAAGGACTGCTCCAAAGACTGGATGGTCTTCTCATATTCGAGTACGACCTCCTCGACAGCTTGAGCGAAGTTGTTGGAACGGTTCAGTCGCTCCGTTGCAGACTCACCCAGGGCGTCTTCCAGCGAGTGGTTCTCGGAACTCTCATTATCCCTCGCCTTGGCCATCTCAGCAATCAGCTTGGCATGGCGCTGGCTGAGGGTCGTATAGTTCTCCTGAACGTCCAATAACTGGTTCTGGAGCTCGGTTTCCCGCTCATTCTGCCTCTCTGACCTCTCTCCTGCGGCTAGAGTGCGCCGCTCGCCGCCGCCACGTTCGGCACTCCGGATTTGCTCACGCAAGAAAGCTACCTCTGCCTTGAGGCGATCGATGATGGCCTGCTTGTCGCCCTCCTCCACCTGCTGAATCCGCGGCTTGCTCTGGATGGCGCGGGCCCTCTGCGCATACTGCACCGTATTGAGTGTTTCGCTAAGATGGAATTCTGGTGGCGTGACGCAGGCAATCATATAAGTGATAGCATTCCCGCCTAATGAGTC